TTTTGGCTGACCATACAGCTGTTTCGAGTATTGCCAAATACCCTTCATCAGTGGTCTTGGAAATAATTCTTGTATTTTAATTATTCGTAAATAATTAATCTATTTAATTCCAGATATTTGCAACATTTATTACCAGTGAGTCCACTTTTCCCAAGTTTAAATATAAATATATAAAGTGTATTGTTTTATAAAAAACTGTGTTGTATTGTTGTGTTTTAGTTCGTGTTATTATTGTTTTTAGTGCACGTTTATGTAGCGTTTATGTAGGTGGAAATTTAGTGTAAATTTCCATCCTTACAATATTAAGAGTTAACATTACTACAGAAGTAAGAATTTTTTTAAACATTTTTTAAACATTTAGTGTTTTTTAAATAAAATAAATAATTAATATATAAATATATAAAAATAAATCAATTATATATATCATATCATAATGAAATATGAATAAATAAATATTATTTAACAAAAAATATTTATTTCAGGTTAATACAGTATAATTCGCTTAACTGCCTCGAGTTGTTTGCAGCGAATTTGGAGGCAGCTATCTTAAAAAGGCAGCTAACGTAATTTTAATAGTCTGCCTAAAATAGTGCGCATTTCATCGCAACAATATAAAAGAATTAAATTTTACGGTTTTTATACAATATATGTATTTATTTCATACATATTAAAATATTTTTTATTTATTTGGACATTGTGTATACGGTTAATAAGTACCATTAGTTCTTTTTAAAGAAAGTTGTAATTTTTGTTTGCACTGGAGCCGCTTTTATAGATAAATTAAAAAATCTATCCTCCAAAGATGTAAGGTTTGGCAAAAATTCTTCGCAATTATTTTGAATGCAAATACGCTTCAGCACCTCAATGGCGAAAAAACCTTCATTCAGAGTATTGCGTTCGGGTTCATCGTCGGCATCGTCATCACTGTCAAAGTCTCCATTGCTGCCGTTTTCGTTATCATTGGGAACCAGTGATTGCACAATTTCCTCATCCGTTAACTTACCATGACAAGGTATATCTTTATCTATTGTTGCATATTCATTCCAATCAATACGTTGTCCATATTCTATCTCATCGGACTCTTCCTCGTTGTCATCAGTAGTTCCTTCGCCATTGAGGTACAGATTAAATCCAGCCTTTATAGGTAATGTAGTTATTAGTTAACAGCAATACTGATACTATAATTGTTTACCTTTTTAAAACAATTGCGAATAGTTAATTGCGTTACGTTCTTCCACCCATCGTTTACAAAATGTAGAACGTCCAACAATGAAATTGTTTTTAAAAATTCAGTTGTTGATATTCCAGAATTTACGGCAATTAGCTGTTGTTTTACCAATATGCGTCTATACTCCAATTTGAAGCAGTGTATAATGCCTTGATCTAGTGATTGAACTGAAGCCGTTGTATTTGGTGGTAAAAAGCTGAATTTAATGTTTTCACACCCTTCTAAAATATTGTGGCTTGTGGCATTATCAAAAAACAACAAAATCTTCCGTTTTTGCTTCTTCATATCTGCATCTAGTTCGTGGACTATTTCTTTCCAGAGCTCACTAGTCATCCATGCTTTTTTGTTAGCATAATATGGCAGTGGCACATGCCACGCAAAACTCCTTTGCCTTCGCCAAAATTACATGCCGATCCAGTATTACGCTTATTGATTCTTCTTGTTGAAACCATTTATACAATGCCTCCTCTACCAAATCGTGTGCACCTTTTCGTTGGCGCTTACGCTTTAACTGGAACGATGAGGCAGACTTTTGAATTTCGGCTTGGTTTTTAACTATGCCATTGATTGTTGATCTGTCACAACTGTATTTAGTGCATAGAACCTTTTTATCAACTTTATCATTAACAGCCGTAATAATTTGGAGTTTTTCTTTTATTGTTAACTCAACCACACGCTTTATTTTACCCATTTTACGATTAGTAAATTTTGATTATAGAAAGACACGATCAAAGCAAAATAAAAACGGACATGTGCAGAAATAAAAAAAAAGATATGCATTGCCATATTCATCAAATAGAAAAGAGTATTTTTTATTGGCAAACGCATAAATTATTTTGTTTGCAAATTCGTTTCCTAGGTGGCGCAGCTAAGTTTGATGATATTCATAGAAAATGTCAATTAAATTCTGTCGATACGAGGCGCTTAAGTGCAACAGGCATCTAACTTGGATGCAGCAAATATAATTATTTTCATACAAATGAAGCCATAAATGCAGAAAAAATATAATTTAAGGTAACTATCTTATCGATGCAGCTAAGCGAATTATACTGTATCAGAAAAACAATAATTGAGATCTCATAAGTTTGATTTATAAATTTAAAATTAGTTGTGTTTAAGGTAAAACAAAAAAAAAATGACCCGGAATTCGTGTGGGACCGTACAACTGTGGGAGCAAAATCTTCTTCAATCCAGGTCTAGATATAGGGGTAATACAATCAGCTTTAGAGGTAAAAAATTTGGTGGTCAAAAGTATTTATAATATCATAAATAGAGAACATATCCCACAACTACTATATAAAGTTGAGTTGAATCATGACGAAAGCAAGCTTAAAAAAGGTGAATTTCACCCGATATATTCTTTACAATATGTTATTTGTTCAGATTTACACTCCATGGAAAGTCGTCCAAAAAGCAAACAAGATGTAGAAGCCAAAATTTGCTCGAATAGCAAAAGCAATCACACAGCCAACTATCGCGGCTGCCCTATCTTTCTTGCTCCAAAGCAAAAAATGCCCGTAGCCAAATATAAGTAAAATCATATCCCTAATATTAACCTCTCACCTTAGCAATTCCCTCACTTAAATAATAATATCTATACGGCCCCAAATGAGCTTCCTCAAACATCGTATGCTAATACTCTGAGGGAATCTCCAGATCAGAAATATAAAAACGACGACACACAATCAGCGCATTTGCCTATGCCTATGTTTTCTTCTTTTATTTAAAGAATGGATAAGTTTATGGAATGGATGCAAATTATGATACAGTCTATGATGCAAAGTATGGTCCAGAATCAAGCACTTATTTCCAGACTATTGAGAGCAGAATGAACGCATTCAAAATCTACCATTGGAATGCTAACGGCTCAAGCCACAATATTCTAGAAATCAGTCGTCATCTATATTTTAATAACATCGATGTTATGCTAATTTCAGAGACACACTTAAAGCGTAAAAATTGCACTCGTATACAAGGCTATTCTTTTTATGACAATTTTTGGAAAATATCGTTGATAAAAATGATCTTGAAGCCTGGAAAAGATCCTTCAGTTGCTACATCATATCGACCGATAAGTCTATTGCCACAAATCTCAAAAATTTTCGAAAAAGTACTAATATAGAAAATACTGATTTTCTCACCGACAGAAAACTTAATTTCGGACCATCAATTTGGTTTTCGCAAAGAGCATGGAATAATTGAACAGGTTCTTTGATTAGCTAACAAAATACACTTAGTTTTACATTCAAAACCATATTGTACGGTAGTTTTTCTTGATACAGACCAGGCATTTGATAAAGTGTGGCTTGAAGGACTTTTATTTAAAATAACACACTTGCTTCCAAAAAAAGTTCATAAACTTCTAAAATCCTACGTGATTCATCGAAAATATAAGGTTAGGTTAGGTTCGGAAGGCGCGTGTTGACCGTTGTCAGCACTTCCACTCGGAGGCATATATTGCCCATTGTGATGCCCTCAAAAATTTTGCCGGGAAAGGCGAGTTGCTAATTTTTGTAATCCCTGTTAAATCATTTGGTTTTCCAGATGAAGTTGAGGAGATCCGATAAGTTAGCTTTCGTTATCTCTTCCAAGTCCTGGACAGAGACATCTTCATTTTGGTAACTCCTGCATAATCCGCTTATTGGAATTCGCCACCGTTGGAATATAGGTGCAATGGCACAGTGGCCCGTTAGTACTCCAGTAAAATACAGGGTTAGACATAAATCTTTTACTTCGCAAGTATACGATATCAACGCTGCAGTTCCTCACTGTAGCGTCCTTGAGCTTCTATACTTAATTTATACAGCTGACATTCCACGATACCCAAACTATTTGCTGACAACTTTCGCTGACGACACTGCTATAGTCAGTACCAACCGTGACCGCACTATAGCATCACAAAATTTGCAAAATGGAGAATCAAGTTGAATGAAACTAAATGCGTTCAAGTAACTTTTACTCTAAGAAGAGAAACATGCCCTGCAGTTAAAATTAATAATATGGATATCGCTCAATCACATTCTGTGAAATTTTTGGGAATTCATCTAGATAGAAGGCTCACGTGGACAAGTCATATTGAAGCCAAAAGATGTCAATTGAATCTTAAATATAAGGAATTGTACTGGGTTCTAAATCGCTACTCTAAACTTAGTCTCGATAACAAATTGTTAATTAACAAATCAATATTAAATCCAATTTGGATTTATGGTATAGAACTTTGGTGTTCAGCGTGTAATAATAATAATAAAGAGTATTCGTGAAAATTGCCCAACAGCCGGTACTGCGGCCAGAAGAGACCTATTGTACCAGTTTCACTATTGATTAAACAAAGCCCCTTAAAGCTTTGTGAATAAAGTCTAGAACTAAATCTAGAGAAGAGTTCTTAATCTGTTCTGGTGACAGAAATTCCTTATGAAACAGGTTTCTTCTGTGCGTTATTAAAGCTGGACAGTCACAAAGAATGTGCATGGTTGTTTCCTCATCTTCGAGGCATAATCTGCATTCCGAGTTAGCAGATAATTGTAGTTTATGAAGGTGATATTTCAGACCATAATGACCTGTAATGAAACCCGTTATCATCCTTAAATTACATTTTGAGAATTTCAGAATGTTTTTGTAGGAGTAAGGTGTTATCAGTGCTTTGCTTTGCCTGAGTCCTGGAAAGTTTACCCAGTACTCTAGCCGCATATGATTTTCCATTTCCTTGATAATCTGTTTTGTACTAGCCCAGTTTATTCCACAAAAGGGTTGAGGGCCTATAAAAGCAGTTTTTGATGCAGTTCTGGCAAGCTCATCAGCTTTTTCATTTCCCAAAACTCCTCTGTGGCCCGGAACCCAGTAAAGGTTTACCTTATTCCGAGCTGCAAGTGATTGCAGAAGATCGTAACACTCAAGGACCTGTTTTGATTTGAAAGTCCAAGAAGAAAGAGCTTTAAGAGCAGCCTGGCTGTCAGAGTAAATAACAATTTTCGAGCCAGAAGGTTTTTTGATTAAATTGGATCTTACACATAAGTTGATTGCGTGGATTTCAGCTTGGAAGACACTCGGCCATGTGCCCATTGCTTCCGAAATGCTGGTGTTGGGTCCAAATACACCAGCGCCAGTGCCTTCATCCATCTTTGATCCATCTGTGTACCAAACCAAACTTTTTGGGTCAACCTGTGGGCCTCCATTCTCCCACGTTGAACGTGATGGTAGGTGTACCTCAAATTTTTTTGCCAAAACGATGGAGTTCTGTTGTATAGTCTCCATCGCATTGAGGAATTTTATGTGCTCCAAATATTTTTAATATTGTTGTATGACCATAGTCAAGACAACTCTTGTTCATGTGGAGTTTTAGTCGAAGCGCACTAAGCGCAGCCGTAGATTGAATGTGTATGTGCAGAGGTGTCAATCCAAGTATAGCCTCAAGTGCTGCAGTTGGACTTGTCCTCATAGCACCAGTCATTAAGAGACACGCTAATCTCTGGAGCTTCATGCAAACAGCAATAGATCCAGCCTGTGTGACCTTTTGCCACCAAACCAGGCAACCATATGTCATGATAGGACGTACTACTGCCTGATATATCCAAAATATAATCTTTGGGTTTAGGCCCCAAGTTTTACCTATACAGGACCGTATTGTCCATAAAGCCGTTAATGCTTTGTTGTATACTTTATTTAAGTGTGAACTCCAAGTGAGTTTACCATCTAGGACAACACCTAGGTACTTTGTTTCACTGGAAAGAGAAATATTAGTGTTTCCTAAACGTACGGGACCTATGTCTAGTTTACGTTTGAGTGTGAAAGGCACAACAACAGTTTTCTCCGGATTTATGGAGAGACCCTCACTTTCGCACCACGCTAAAATGCGTCGAAGGTGCCCTACCAAGATCTCTGATAAACTGCTACCATGCTTTCCAGATACTATTATAACTAGATCGTCTGCATACCCAATGGCGTCACAACCAATATTCTCCAACAAGATTAAAAGTTCATCAACAACCACTGACCAGAGCAAAGGAGACAGTACTCCACCCTGTGGGCAACCTTTTGCGGCCTCAACAGCTACAGACGTTCTACCTAAGGTTGATGTAATTTTTCTGCTTTGAAGTATCGCCTCAATCCAGGAAATAACATTAAAATCAACATTTCTGTTAGTTAAGGCATTCGAGATCGAGCCATAACTCGTATTGTCGAAAGCTCCTTCAATATCCAGAAATGCACAAAGCGCAATTTCTTTGTTTTTGTGGGCCTTTTCAATTCTACTGACCAAGTTATGTAAGGCCAATTCGGTAGATTTCCCTTTGGAATAAGCGAATTGAGTTTTGTGAAGAGGTTGACTTTTAGACAGT